TTGAGTCATTGCCATCAAGACAGGGTTGGTTTTCTTTTTCACAATAGTATTTGTGTGTGCTGCAGGGTGTGAGGAATCATACTTTTTGGTGTGAGGTTTTGTGTATAGGTGGGGTACGGGGTAACCGAGTTTGTGCCAGTTTTGTTCATACTGGTTATACTGTGTGCGTGTATTGTGTGTGTGTAGAGAGGTTTTTTATTGTGTGTGTGTGTGTGTTTCAAAACAAATTGCATAGCAATTAACCAATGGCTTTGCCAGGAACAACACAAATGCATTCACAGTGTTCACACGAAGACACTTAATAGCATTAGATCTCTCCATAACGTCGTCTGGGTCTCCTTAAAACACTTATGCCAATCAATAATGGACGGATCACCTCCCTCTATATTCCTCCAATCACGAAACGAAAAAAAAAAAAAAAACTCATTGCCATTGTAAATAGGAGAAAAGGGAGAGGGGGAGAGAGAGTGTGAGGGCAAGGGGAGGGGGGCAGTATGAGGAAGGGGGCGAGATCAGATAGAAGGAGAGAGGGAAAGGACCTTCTTCGATAGGACCAATGTCCTACTCGATGAAGGAGGTCGACACATCCCTGAAGCGCTTTTCGTCGTTTGTGCCAAACGGCTCATCAGAGGGTATGAGACGAAGGTAAGCATACAGTTATGGGTGGCCTTCTACATCAACTGGCCCAATTACCGAAGGAGTGGGGGCGACTCATGCGTAAAGCATTTTGGGGTAGACTGAGGACGAAGGTCTCTTGGCATATGCTATCTTTGTGTCCCAGGGGTGGGGGACTGAAGGGGGCACCTTCAGGTGCAGCTCTCAGGTTCGCAGGCTGTCATGTGTTGTAGCTGGAGTTTTTTTTTGGTTAGTTGTGGTGACTGCGTTTTCTTTGTGCTGGCTATGGCGTTTTTTTTTCTTCATAGGAGTCCGACTTATCTTTGGAGTTTTGTTGATGTCAGCAGGCACTGCGCTCCGTATAGAGCGGGCTATCTATCGTTTCGTGTTTTTGTCTGCTTCCATTTTTCCTTTTTCTTAATTTTTCGGTTCCGTGCCTATCATGAATCGTTTTCTTTTTGTTTTGTTTTTTAGCGGGGGTTCTATATTCAGACCTGGGGGCACGGATGGGGGGGGGTTGTGTGAGTGTTTTTTGGAGGTTGGTAGGCTTTAGTGGTCTTCGTTGAGATGGATACGTTATTTGTGAATTCGTGTATTTTTGGGGCGGAGTGTGTGTATTTTTTGGTAGGGGGAACAAATGAAGGGTTCTTTTTATTTTTTGGAAGTTGGTAGGCCTAACGGCCGATGTTGAGACGGTGGCTTTATTGCTGTCATGTTTTTTTTTTTTTTAATGTACTTTTTTGCGTATGCGTGTATAAGTCCATATGTGTGGGTAGATCTTCTGTGTGTATGTGTAATTTGCGAGTTGTGTGTATGTTTGTGTTTTGCGTCTATTTATTTGTATATATCGTCAAACAGAGCTGCCCGGTAAACCGTAGGCAGAGAGGGAGAAGAGGACAACAAACGAGGGATATATGTATATATGTGTGTATGTGTGTGCATGCAGAGAGGGAGAAGAGGACAACAAAAGAGGGATATATATGTGTGTGTCTTCTTTGTTTGTAAGTGTGTAAATGTGTGTGTGAGTGTGTGTGTGTGTGTGTGTGTGTGTTTTAAAAAAGCACCCCTAACTCTCTCTCGCATTCCCTCAACAAATCATAACAAACCATCCATAACAAAAAAGTATAGATAGATAGTACAACAGAAAATGCAAGGTTGGCCACGTTTGTGTGGTTCAGCGCCAAGTGCNCATCCATAACAAAAAAGTATAGATAGATAGTACAACAGAAAATGCAAGGTTGGCCACGTTTGTGTGGTTCAGCGCCAAGTGCCCACACACCCGTCTGCCGCAGAAGCGGCATACATATATCTGTCACAGGCTCACAGCCCCTTGTCCGCTTGTTTGTTGTCCTCTTCTCCCTCTCTGCCTACAGTTTACCGGGCAGCTCTGTTTGACTATATATACATATACATATACATATATGAGGGCAGCGGTTGGTGCCCACCTCAGGGTATCAGTTGTAGGGCAGTCGTTGATGCTTAACGACAGCCAGGGATAAGGTGGATTATCACTTACAGTGTAATCAGTTAGGGGATTCTGCAGACTGTCGAGGGTTCAGCCTCCTGATGACTCGGTGAAACTCCAACGAATCAGTTTATCACAGCCCCTCGTTTGTTGTCCTCTTCTCCCTCTCTGCCTACGGTTTACAAGGCAGCTCTGTTTGACAATATATACCATGACTTCGCTAGCACCCTGCTACGGTTTTCTCCGGTCAGGTCAAGCGGCAGCGGTCGGGGCTGTCACTATGCGGCCATGCTGTGCCTCTAGTGCCAGCGGCTTGTCTGGAGTCTAGTTTTTGGCTGTAAGCGACCTTTCTTTGCTTCATGGGTGTTTTGCTGGCTTGTGATGGGGTGTGAACCGACAGTCTGTAGAGTTTTCCATCTGGCGTGGGTGAGTGATAGTCTGCTTTGATTTTCATCACGGCTACCTTGAGGGCAGTGGTTGGTGCCCACCTCCTCAGAGGGGTACCAGTTGTCGGGCAGTCATTGATGCTTAGCCACAGCCGAGGTTAAGGTGGATTATCACTTACAGTGTAATCAGTTAGGGGATTCTGCAGACTGTTTTTGAGGGTTCACCCTCCTCCTGATGAGTCTGTCGGTGAAACTCCGACGAAACAGTTTGTAACAGCCCCCCTCGTTTGTCGTCTTCTTCCTCTCTGCCTTATCGGGCAGCTCTGTTTGAGAATATATATCGTCAAACAGAGCTCCCTACGGTAAACCGTAGGCAGAGAGGGAGAAGAGGACAACAAACGAGGGAGGGGCTGTGACAAACTGTTTCGTCAAGTTTCACCGACTCATCAGGAGGTTGAAAAGGTGGCGGGCAAAAGGCAACTTACCTAAGACAGAGGTCTCCACCAGCAAGAAAGCACCGACCCCATTGGCCAAAAGTCCCAAAAAACTTGGAGAGACCTCGGCGTCGGCCCACAAAACCACAAACTTGATTAAACAAACCCAACAGCATAACACAAATGGCTCCACTAACAAAAAAGCACCGACCGGACGCACCAATGGTCTAAGAAAAAAAATAGGGCCCTCTGCGACGGCCTAGAACACCACCATAAATAAAAAATACACCAAGAGTGCCATGATCCTCCACCTCCCACACAACCTGCAGAATCAGATGATATCCTAGTGCTACAGCCAGGCCACTGCTAGTAAAGCCAAATTCCAGAAGATCTCCGCACTATACCAGGAGCGCTACTGCTCAAACCACCAGTACTTGGCCCAGCTATCGGCCGTGGAAAAAGAAAAAATTAGAAACCTTTCTAGTCGGATGAATTTGGGCGCTCCTGTAGTGGCCCATTCATTTCCGAAAACCGTGGCTTGTATACAGACACGACTTTAGGAAGTAACGGTGGTTTAAAACACACCCTAGAAGCTACCTCATTCTTCCATGTGCTCCAAAAGAGCAGAGCCCGCAGAAATGACACCCACAGCAAACACTCTCTGAGCCTCCTCGCGAAGATATTGTGGCCAAAAGTTCCAAAGCCCCAAACATTCATTCCCACCCCAGAAAAAACTTGTGGCCACTGGCCACCCACACAGACATTACTTCATCGACAAGGTAGCCCATGCTGCAAAGCAGGGCAAGTGTGTCTGTGTGTGTGTGCGTGCGTGGATCAGGGTACCCATTGCTCATCTCTGGTGGCAAGGCATAACCACGTACTTCAAGAACGGCGTTAGCAGACTACTAAACCACCAAGGTTTGAGTTTCCCAGCCATTTCTTTTCAGCAACGCGGCATGCATACTAGCATGGCGGGAGGGAGGTATCAGGGCGCCGTTTCATGGCTTATCCATCCAGGTAGAATGGGTTGCATGTGGAAAAAAAACAAAAAAAAAAACAAAGAATGTGTTGCATGCGAGGCCCATTTCGCATGAGATTCCACGCCTCGTCGAGCTTGCGTTGGCAGTTAGTTGCTCCCGCCGGTGCCCTCAAGTTACGCCGATTGCTTCGAGCTGGCCTGGCATAGCATCCGTGCCATGGCGTGCCTGCGTGCACACACCCTCTACACGCACAAACTCCTTGGCGGAGTGGGTTGAAGAGTGTTTTATGGATGTGATCCACTAGTTTCTTGGAGTTGCTGCCACTCTTGTCAAGCAAGGGTTTAGGCCAACAGTCTGCTAGAGGATAGCAGGGTCAGTGTGAGCAACGTCGACCACTTTTCTCAGGGGTATCGCTAACTCTGGGTGGCGTGGTGACTCCATCAGTCAAATGCATCCTGGGCAGACTGTCTGTCCAGGTTCAACCTCCTGATGAGTCGGTGAAAGTCCGACGAAACAGTCGGGCACAGTCATGCTTTCTTTGTGGAGTTGTGTATAGCGAACATGATCACACACACACACACACACACACACACACACACACACACACACACACACACACAGAGTTGTTGCTGTGCCTTCCATCATAGTACAATTTCATTTTGCCCGCGGGCAGATGGCCATGTGCCACAGAGAGTAGTCATTTGGCATTTGGTGGGTAAATCAGAGAGCAGTCTTTCTTCCTCTTATTTTCATCATTTCCATCATTTGGCATTTGGTGGGTAAATCAGAGAGCAGTCTTTCTTCCTCTTATTTTCATCATTTCCAGACTGGTGCAGATCATTGTTGTGTGGTGTGGTCAAACACTGTCCCTCTCTGCAATACCGATCCATCCTACATGTACACCATGCTCTCCTGAGGCCAACAGCGGCACTTCCTGCTTGGAGTACATTGCAACCGAATTTCAATGGTCAATTTGACTCAATTGGTAAATGTAATAGCCGCAAGTGGTTACGAAGAACAATTATAAATTCCAATTTCTGCTTCACTGTAGAAAAATGTGCAAGATCCAGATGCCAAAGTCAAGCACCTGAAAAAGAATATGGAAAATCAATGTTCAAAACTAGAAAAGACACAAAACTGCGCTATGAGATTCCTGCACATCAGTCAGGAGTCCAACCTCTCCGTCAGCAATGAGAGCCAGCCATGTAGGTCAAGCGCACACTGCCAACAACATGGTATAGCTCCACAATCTACCTCTCTTGTCGATCAGCCACCGTCCAATACCCTCAGCATCAGCTCCTGCTACCGTCTTCACCCGAATACAATGTACAGTCATAGTATCCGTATTTGGACCAATTTTCAGTCCGATGACCAGGCGTTCTGTTCGGGTGAAGATGCTAGGCCTGTGGAGGGATTCCAGGGCCCGTACAATGGCCTCGCCGCATCCAAGGCTTCTACCCGATTCATTCCTGTCTGAATCTCAGCCTCATGGACCATTGAATATACCCCTCTCCTCCTCCCTCCAAACAACCTCACTTCCTGCACCCTCTCAATCGCACACTCTAGAGCCGCATTGCCCGATCTGGCTGTTCCTAATCTGACCATTCAAGTGAGGGTTCTTCAAACACCTTGATAGCCTTCGAAACAGAACGTAGCTCGCCCAGAAATCCGTCAAACAAAATTCCAGTGTGCTGTCTCCGATCGCAAACCCATAACTGTCATCCAACACCTTCACAGCTCTCTGGTACACCTCCAGCGGACCGCAGACGGGACTTTGGTGAGTGCTTCTCCATATGCAGCTGATGTCTTGTGGACCTCATTATTGCTAGCATCTTTCCAGCCCCTCTTATTACTGCTATGACACACTTGCTGTGTGTGTGGGTTGCAGACTTGAAGTTCCTCCTTCCTAATAAGGAACGATGCTCACAACCCATGTTCACATGAGGGTTAAATCCTGTAACACAGGCACCTATCTGACCGAGAGAAGAGTCAATCAGCACTGCATCATAAACTCCCAGTCAACCAAACCCACTTGGCGGGAGGGCTCCGCAACCGCCCCTCGCATGTTATGCTCCGGATGTGGCAAAACACACTCTTTCTCTACAACACCTGGATTAACTGGATCCTTCTGCTGTCTCAATCCGACCCCCCCGGGACAAAATAACCGATGTTTCAAAAACCAGTTACGCAATTGCTCAAAACAGTGAGGCTGTCGCACGAGTGGAGGGGGAGGAGCACAAAAAATACAATGACCGCTATGTGTAGCAATTTTAACACGTGAACGCTGAGGAATATCATCCACTCCGAGGAGACCGATCAAACCTCGGTTTGCAGCAACGGTGGTAATGCGTGAACGCCGAGGAATATCGTGGAGTCCCGGGAGACTAATCAACCCTCAGCTTGCAACGAAGGCGACCAACCAACTGGTTCTCCACATGTAAGAGGAGACTGAAACACAAATGCAGAAAATTCATATGTTCCCTCCTTTCCTTTCAAGTTCTAGCCTGTTATATGTTGGCGAGGGTGATGTGCAGCCCCCGCTAGGTATGCCATCAGATCTCTATAATGGAACGAGGCAACCGCTATACAATGCCTTTCGCGGCACCAAGAGATGAAAAGAAGTAAATGTGTTCAGAACTGTGCAAGAGTACAGCAACAGTTCTTTATTGAAAAGTAAAGAACTGCCCATTCCTACAAGGCAGCAGAAAAGACCTGCCCATCAAGATAGCGAGCGAGGCATATTGAAAATTCACACGCTAGCCGAGTGTCCTTCTCTACCTCTACACAAGTGGATTGCCATCAAAAGCAGCCACTCACACATCCATGTGGCAACTACAGCCAATCAACATCACAGCTCTGTGACTCGCTATACCCCTGACGGCTACAACCCAATTCTCTCTCTCTCTCTCTCTCTCTCTCTCTCTCTCTCTCTCTCTCTCTCTCTCTCTC